GAACTCTGGGGGCCAGGAGGGAGCTCGGCTGGGCTGGGCAGAGAGTGGGACAGGGGGGGGGAGGACCCTCTTCTCAGTGTGGGGCTTACCAGGTGGGCATGACAGGCATGCCTGGTGGCCAGAGTCCATCCCTGCTGGTGGCAATGACATACAGCTCCTGGTGATGTCCTGGGATGCAGAGGCCTGGCTGGCTGGACAGGGGGGCCCTCTGGGGAGGAGCTAGAGCTCATCAGTGTGGGTGGTTTCATCCCTCGGCTGTCCTCCTGGGCAGGGCTGTGCATCTGGAACTGGTGGGGTAGGCACTGGTCTGGGCTGCTGGATGGCAACAGGGGTGGGGACCATGGTGGGACAGGTTCCTGGGGCCCCGAGGGGCCCTTCCCTGCTGACAGCTTGTTGCCACTGCCAGGCTGTGTCAGAGGCTCTGGCAGGCTGATCGTTCTGGAGAACACGAATATGAATCCGCACAGGGTCCTGGGGTGCAGGAATGTGGTCCTGCTGCTGCATAAAGGGCATGTGTTTGTGGGCAGTCCCTGACCAGCCGTTGTGGTTGGTGATGCTGCCTGTACCCACAGGGCCTGGACATTTATGTGGCATTGGCACACTGACTCATTGTGCCCATGCTCCTGCATGCGGGCTGTCAGGCCCTCATAAAATTTGTGCATTGGAGAGCTCACCCTGGGTGAACTGGCTGTGGACTTCAGCCTTGCCCCACAGTGCAACAAGTTCTGTAGTCTCATCCTAGGACCAGTTACACCCACAGGAGGTGGTATGTGGTGTCGGGGAAGAAGCCAGCATGGTTTCCTTCATGGCCCTCAGGGACTGTGGGTGACAGTCCAGGCCTGGCCAGTGTGAGGGCACGGCGTGGGACAGGCAGGCAGGCAGTGGGGCTGGACTGGAGGCCAGCACCAGGGTCCAGCCAGGGTGCTGCAGCTGGCTCAGGGCCTCTGCTGTGGGACCCAGTGGCCAGAGGCAGGCAGCAGGTGGCACAGGCCCCCAGGGTCTCACATAGTTTGAAAGGGCAGGCAAAGAGCCACTGCAGCATCGGGGATGGAGAAGCTCGGAGCCCTGTAAGCCTGGGAGTAGCCTGAGGTTGCCCCTTGGTGGTGGCAAATTTGCTCCCATTTGCCAACTACACCTAAGATACTGTGCAGTTATTCCGACATGTTAATTTGCTACCTGCAAATGCAGGTAGCAAATTAACCATGCAGTAAATTATTTACTGTGCAGTAAGTGCCTGCAGGTGCAGATGGTTACACTTTACCATGCAGTTAGCTCATTTACTGCATGGTAAAGTGTAACCAACTGCACGGTAAAGTGTCTTGTACAGATGCACCCCCTGTGACATTACATCTTAAGAGTGGTCTTTAGTACTAATTAAAAATAATGCTGAAGGTAATGAAAATGAGGCGGTACTCTGGAATACAATAGCTACCTGTTTATACTGTATGCCATTCCATGAGGTGTTTTAAAATGCTATATATAAATAATGGCCAAATCATTGCCTGTGTGAGACTTACTAGTAGATGACAAGGATTCACACAGCTAGAGGAAATTAAATGCCCTCAGGGCATAAAAGGTTACTATCTGTTTGAAGCAAAAGATATATACATTTGAGATTTGATTAATTTCTTACATATAAATCTTTATGGATTGCTATCTATTACATTAAACTTTGTAAAAGAAACTGTGTGATCTTTCAATGTCCTTCAATTGAATTATGTTACATTGTGCTGAGAAGGCCCACACTCCTCTGTTCTAATTTAGACATCTTTATTTTGCTGAGTATTACTTTTGCTGGCACTAAAATAATTGGTGATTTTTAAATCTTGATATTCGGAATGTATTAATATGAAATCACCTTACGTTTTGTTCAGCAGTGCCTTGAAAGAAAAGAATGCTCTTTGTTCCATCCCCTCAATATATGGAAAAATAGAACAAATATAAATATCTTCTTAAAATAGCTGACCATTATTACCATTTGAAATTTGATAGGACCCAGGCATGGCTTCTGTTCCTGGACCTGCCACTGATTTGGGCAAGCCGCTTCACTTTGTCCACATAGATGATGCACAAGTTTTTGCAGTTGGGGGCAGGTGGGGCACAACTCCATGCTGCTGAGAGGTGCTGGCCCCAACCAGGCTGCAGCCCCATGCCCAACATCAGTGCACAAAATCGGGGGGGGGGCACATGCCCGCTTTGCACCCCCATGTGCTGCCTATGCCTGTCCATGTCTCAGGATCCCCAACTATAAGACTGGCATATATTTATCTTATAATATGTGTGTGTGTTGATGAGGCCCCTGTTACACTTAAGATGCAATTAGCCAGCTAATCATGTCTGAAGCAGTTACCAGGCCACACATTAAGGCAATTAATGGTGTGATAAAACAAGGAATAAGCTGCAAAGTTTTTACACAAGAGACCTGTAATAACTCTGGCTGGTTCCTACCATGCCATTAATTGAACATGTGGTCAGACTGTGGCTCCCAGCTGCAGGGACACAGCTGGAGCTACCAGCTGATCTGGACTCCCAGGTGTGGGGTTGCACCATGAACCTCCCAGGTCCAGGGGTGCACCCTGAGCCTGGTAGCTGTCAGCTCATCTGTCAGATCTTCCAGCACCAGGAGTAAGGAGAGATGGATATGATGTTCGGTCACACAGCCATTCCTCCTCCCATGCACTTGGTATGGCAGGAAACATGATTCTGCATCAGATCGCATCATGTTTTTAACTTCGTGTCTGCCAGAGGCCTAATATACCCTGGATGCATCTACACTTTCAATTAGCACGTAACAATCAGTGTGAACCCAGGACCACAGCATGTTGAGCTGGGGCAGACCAGCTCTGCACTGCCAGCCGGGGCTGCTATGCCCCAGCTCAAAAATGCTGCAGAGGGGCTGACTGGGGCACGAGGGTGCTTCAGTGTGGGGCTAGCTGGCAGGCAGCCCCTATACTATAGCATCCTCATGCCCCAGCCAGCCCTGGTCACCATCTCCAGATGCATTGTGGCACACAACTACTCTGCTGTAGCATAGTACTTGTCCCACACAGTACTATCCCGCAGCAGAGTTAATTAACTGGCAGGCTCACATGTAGATAGCGACACTTTACTGTGGAGCTAATTAGTCAGTATAGATGCACCCACAGAGAGGCACACACACTATATATAAATAATATATTTAAGGCAACACAAGCAATTGAGAAGAGTAACTTTCTGTCTCTTCTCCCGTGGCTTGAATTTTCACTTCCTTATGTAATTCAAAATAAAAGGAAAGTGGATAAAATGCAGCAGGGGCTCTCCCAGGAAAAGCTGAATCTCTGTATAAGGCCTTATTTTTAAGCAGAGTCTTAACAATTTTACTAATTTCTGTCCACTTCACCTGCTAACTGGACTATGCTTTACACCCACACTGGTATATCCTCAATGACTGAATGCAGAGTATAAGTATTTATGATGGAAAGCTAAGAATAGTTTCTCTAATTCTTCTTCTGAAATCTATATTCTTGAGATGGCTGCTCTGCCCATCTATTTCTACCTGATTATGTTTACGCTTCTTTCTTAGAGCCAAGCTCCTATGCCAATTGAAATCAATACCCATTGTCTTCTAGGCTCTGGATCAGGTTGATGGTATATTGTGCAATTCCTTAAAACTGCTAAGTATTTCTTTAGAATCCAGAAATCGTACCTCTTTAAATTTGTATGCGAGGTTAGTAATTGCATTGGTTGTGTTTGAGAAATGCCTATGAAAATGTAGAAAAGAACAATTGAAATAAAATCTATTTTATCCTTTCTTTAAAAAAAAAAAATGTTCATGGACCTGGGCTTAGATTGGCCATAATAGGTTCAAGTGATTGACTTCATGCTTTCACCGTGGCTCCTTATGGTATTAAATAGTAGATACTTGAAAGTCCAGATGCAGTGCATTGCCACAATTACAATATTTACAGTTCTCCCCTGCTGATTTCACAAATAGGACCTGTCAGCCAGCCAGGCAGAGCTTTAAAAGAAAATAAGCTGAAAAATAAGCACAGAAGAAGAGAGATAACCATTGACTGAAAGCATGAAGCTCCTCAATCAGATAGGGCAGGTTCATTTCTCCCTCAGTTCAGATCCCGTTCGTGTGCGTTTAATAATCATCGTCTTGCCTCCCACTTTTGATTTCTCATCTCAGCTACTTGCTGGACACTGGTTCTACATCTCAGGCGATGGACCACTTTAAACTGCAGTATGCCATTTCTTCTGTTGCTAAAAAAAAAATAAAAATCAGCCTCTTAGGGATAGAGAGTCAAGGACCAGCACGAGGGGTAAGCAACTAACTTAAACATATCTATCTATCTATCAATCATCTATCTATGCTTCATCAACATTTTTCATGGAATGGTTGATTGTTCAAGTGGATGGTATGCTTTAATGTCATTGTCATTAATTCTTCACACAGAAGAAAGTAGGTGGAAGATTTTACAATGTTGCTGTTCAAAAGGGAATTGTACTGTAATAACTGGACTAGAGGAGAAGGGTTCTGTCTGAAATATTCTTTTTAAATATGAAAAGGTCCTACAGTTCATAACTACACTTATAGCATCAAATACCACTGTACTAGTTTTTCTTTTAACTAGATAGAACTGTAATGTAATTTATCAGCATGTGCCAAACCTTATTGAAAAACCTGATATTTATTTTAAGTTAGCAACCAAATCTGCTTCTAAAATGCAGGACACACTCTCCAGCCAAACATTCCTGTTTTTAAAGAAGTGTAGAAATTTGGACATTACTTTATATTGCCTGCAATGCTGTTGCTAACAAACTTCAGAAAACCTGAAATATCTATCTCCAACACGTATAAAAAATGATGCACTCCAGTTCCACCAAACGTGTACATTGAAATAAAACATTAACCACTCTTAAGGTTAACCACTGGCTTTACATGATTTTTATATTAGCACATCAGCATCTAGCTGTCAGACATGTTAACACTGGTCAGCATTAGGTTTCAACACATTGGCAGCTTTCTTGAATCCCTTGATCTTCTTTTTCCCTCCTTCCATCTCCCGCATCCCAGTATATGACCTACTACTTGAGTTATAGCTATCTTCTTTGAAGATGAGCCACTGGAGGTGAATTCAAGACAAGCATTTACAAGTAAGTAATACTGCTGATCAGTAGTATGGAACCTGGATTGCATTTCTTGCCTTGGGACAAGAGTGTGGTTGTAGTGGTTAGTGATAGGAAACACTGAACTGGTTAAGTCACTTTAAAAAGCAGTGACACAGTGGTTAGAACAGGCATTATAACAGTCTTGTGTTCTCCAATTACTGATGATGACATTGCAAAAGCTCCCCGATAATTTTATTATAAGGTCTGCCTTCCGAGGTTGGGTTTATGACTGATATTTTAGGAACTGGCACACGAGGAATAACTATGTGACCACAGATTTCAGAGGGTTTTAAATTTATTGCAAAAGAAGAATAAGGAAAACGGAAATACATGACAAAAGGGGTGATTTTTAAGTTCTCATTATTCCCTATCCAGACAACCCCCTGTCAATGTATTAGAAAATTCATCATGCTGTTTATTGTGTTTATGATTGTATGTAAATTGGAGAAATCAGGGGCAAGTAGGTCAACAGTGATCCAACAGACCTTAAAAAAAAATGCCCCTTCTCGTAGGATTTGACTATTGTTTTGAGACTCAGCATAGGCAATGTACTCATCAGAAAATAAATTCACTATTTGCCCAAGGAGGGGCAAAGAACAGATCCTTTCTTTTGTTTGGTTAAAATCATTAACTAGTCATGCTCTCTGTAATTTGTCTTTCCCCAACCACTCCTCTGAATTCATCATTATTTAGACAAAAATGTACATACATATATGCACATACAGAA